TTCTGCATTAACTCTGGTTGGCCTCTGAATTTTGAATCTTTTTGGCATTGTGTATATAGCTAGAATCATTTTAAATATGGACATATTGACCATTTCCCTACCTCCAGCTAGTCATTATAACACCAGAGTTACATGGGTGACTTTTAATTTAAGAGATTGGAAAAACCTAGTGCTAATGCAGAGGTTTATTTCCATTGTTAAGAGATTAATTTCCCAAGGGTATAATTAAATTGGTAAAAAAAAAAAAGTCAAAGATGAGCAAAACATTGCCTCCACACAAGCTTGAAATTGTACTCCAATTCATGCTTTGGTTTTGATACCACAAATTAACAATTTTAGTACAACTTTCAATTATTCTTGCTGCTCTATCTATTGATTGTTTGTGATATATGTAGGGTTTCCCTTTAGGAACTTTGTACATTATTCAAATCCCATGTATATATAAAAGAAAACAATCGAGTCCCTTAGATTCACTGCAAAGCAAATACTGCTCTCACTGCCCTTATGAAGTATAGGCATGTAGTTAATATACACGTATATCACACATTTCCTAATATGATCTTTGTACAACTACATTTTCAGCTATGGCATTTCCACTTGTGTACTTCAAGTGAATTTTTCATTTAGTTTATCCAAAACCGTTATGATCATATCAGGCTAACATCAGATCTATCTGCAGTGCAAACAAAACCAACTTCAGGCTTTAATAAGAAAACAGATTTTTTTATTACTTACTCAGTTTTGTGTACTTCTACTCTATTTTAACCGTATAGAAAAACAAACTATTAAAACAATATTTTCTGTTTGTTTCAGACATCTGATTTTTATGCATGTTATCTCTTAGTTTATCTAAAGCCTAGAGCTGTAACGCTGTGGTCTTCCTCATGACGGCAAGACCTACCTTCACTTTCTGTCCTGATGGCACCAATCACTAGAACAGCAAGTAAAAGGAAATTCCTCCCACCCCATCCGATTCCCCATCAATCAGGGACACAGACTGCAGTAAAAACTCAACCAAATCTCTGAACCTCCTTACCCATTCTACAACAAATGCTTCTTTTGCTCTCATTATCCCAGTTGGAGAGATTTGAATTCTCTTTCTATTCTAATGGCACTGGCCACCACCAGGGCATGAAGTGAAAGAAATTGCCCCAACATGGAACAAAAGCAGCAATGCAAGTTTGGTAGAGGTGATAATCCTTTTCACTTTATCCAACACAAAACAAAAGATCCTTTTGACCGATGTTCCACTTTAATCTCCCACAGATATGGACAATATAATAATTGTAATAGGGGAACAAAATAAGACCCCTCAATCAGTTCTTTGTTCGTATTCACTTGCTATTGCTCATTGAGTAGTTTTGCCCATAACTGGCACTGTGACAATGTTAGCTGATTTTATATGCTCAGTGCTATGATTATTTGTCTTTAGCCTTTGGTGAGGGATGGAGAGACACGCTACATATACTTGCTGTGGTGTCTTGCTTATCAAGGGGAAAACAAAAGCATTCAGACAAGACTTCCAATGTGTCCAATTATTTTTTTCTGCTGACATTTTTTGGGCAACAGTGTTTGCTGGTACCTTTTGGTCGTTAGACCATCTCTTGTTTGGAAGAAGATGGATTAGGAGACTTGTCTAATGTGTATGGTCATCTTCATGATGGCTGTACATTTCTGGATCACATGACAGTCTCAAGACTTTGGGTTCAGGAAATGTCCAGCAGTGTGCACTATGGTTAGAAGTTCCGTTCACTGTTGTTCTCCACGTAGAAAAGAGAGGTGCAGGTATCTGGTTGCTTCTCACCTCGACATTGGCTTCAACATGCACACACTGCCAAGCTGTTTTGCACGAGGGTGGTTTGATCATGTTTGTACATGCTGACCTTTTTTAAATCTCTGGCCACCACTAGAGAAACCCTGTATCTTATATGCAAGTAAAATTACCAGTTCAAGTATTGCTTAAGATGACTGGACCATGCAGTGATTAATTATTGAGTAATAACAAGCAAAAAAGTGCTAATTATCAGAGACAGAAATTTTCTGCTCTTGCAAACTCTCTAGGCGATCACCAATCTTCCCAGTATCTCATCAGAAATCTATTGCGCTTCATGTGTTCCACAGTACAGCATTGGCTTTGTTAGATTAAGACGATCTTCCTGACCTTTGTATATTGCATTTTTTAATGTGTTTTCTATGCAGCTATTATAATAAAAAAGTGCACACAACACTTCGTGAAACAGTACAGTTTGCACACATTATTATGTAATGTCCCACTCAATCCAGATTGCTAAAAGTTAGATTGAAATACTCCTTATTTTAAAAGACGGTGTTTAGTAGACATTCTTCATTTGCTCTTCCTGGTCAACGTTGTCATCAATCTTACAGTGTTGTGTGCAGCAACTATATATGGTAGAGGCACAACCCATCAGATGGCAACTCCTTGCCTTGACCTGACCTCCCAAGACACCATCAATGTAAGTTGGAGGCAGGAGGTAAGAGGGTCAATGACAGTATCCCATGAGGCTGAGGAAAAAAGATGCCTAATTATGGTCGTATGTATGTGCTCTGCTGATTCCTATCAGGAGTTATGTATATGCTAAAGGTACATTAGTCCCCTACTGTCAGGGCTCCAGGTATGACCAGAGGTGTGTGGACTGACGCAGGGAAACGCAGGCTTCAGATATAGTATAAACAGTATAATTTATTTAAGACTAAACAATACATAAACGCAGTGCAAGACTAAACATAAACACATTGCAAACAAACCAAACCAAAACCCCCAACAGATAACAAAAGAACAATACTAAGCGTAGTCGGGCAGGCCGGGTCGGTAGCAAACGGGCAGGCAAGGTACAAAGGAGCAGGCAGAGCGTAGTCAGACGGGCCGGGTCAATAACAATCAGGCAGACAAGGTACCAAAGGAGCAGACTGGAGAGTGGTCAGGAATAGCAGAGGTCAGGACAGGCGGAGTTCAATCAGAGTCAGGGATCAAGCAGGATCAGACAGGAAGCAGACAGGATGCAGGTACAGGGGCTCTTGGGAAACATACACCAAGGCCCTGATTGAAAGTCTGGCCATTCCTTATATGCACCTCCTGCAATCAGCCTCAGGTGTTTTGGCTGACTGCAGGAGTGAGCCTCTGGTTGCTGAGAGCACCCGCTGGCCAGTCCTGGTACTGCAACCCACAAGGCAGGTGAGTCCCACCACTATTGGCGAGTCCATTCCTGACACCTATCTCACTTGTTGCTTCCTGCTAAAATATTCAGGTAGGATCCCTGAACTGCTTTCCTGATATCTTGAATGGAGGTCAGGACTCTGCCATTTTGTTGGTCACATCTAAAGGGTGAAGGACTTGAAGCCAATTTTTTACTTCACTTTTAAAGTCTTCTTTAAAAGAAAAATAAAAAGACCAGCACCTTTTAAGTAATTACAAGATCACTCATGCAACTTAGAGAACATTTTAAATCTGAAGTGAATGCAACTTTGGTTTAAGTGTAAAAGAGAATGATTGATGTGCTGTGTCTGCTTTTAGGTGTAGAATATTTTCTGTCTAGGAAATAGACCACTAGCTTTTAGCTGGCAAAACTTGGTGCCGATCCCAGTGTCAACTTGTTTTGTGATCTCAGGCCTCCGGCAAAAATAATATTATAAGCTCAGTGGAGCAGGGAATCGTTTTCGCCTGCAAAATTTCCAAATGCACTAGCGGCACTTTTATGAGAGAATTTTTTTTTTTTATATTATTAAAACTCGTTCTTTCTAATAGGAGAATTTTGTAGACTGAGCACATATAATAATCTTCGGTTTATACATTATTCAATACTAAATTTAAAAATAAGAGTGCAGTTATCTTGGGTTTTAGAGGGTTTTTCACATGAAAAAGATGGTACAAAGTACTTTTATTAATCAAAGCAGCATTTAGTTCTCAGAGTAAGTTAAATGAAGCACTAAGCACCAACATCATTAAAAAGCACTGAATCTATTTTCAAGAATTTCTGCCAGCTTGTTCCCGTTCAAGGGGGAAGGATGGGTTTTCTGTAATATTAAAAGCTGGCAAACAGCTGAAATATAACTAGCAGTACCAGAAGCCAATTAAGATCAAAGCAGAGATTTTCAGTAGTGCGGCTTCATCGTTTCAATATTAAACAATTTTTTTCTCTTTGACATAGATCAAGAGGTGTTAATGCAGATTCTTTGAAACAAGTCAAGTAGTGTTTTTAAGTGACAGAATGGGCATTTGTTCTATCGCACTCAATTAGTATCATGCCCCGGAATTCTCTGTATTTCTCCAATGCTGTATCTGATGTATCTGTTGCTGACAAACAAGAAAAGCACTGTAGGCTTTCATTGAAGAAGACGTGTCTGGAACAGAGAGAGAGAGAAGAAGAGACTAAGTACACAGTTATGTAGAACAAAGCACACACATTTGTATTCCTCCCTCCTACATAATCTGAAGAAAACATACACACGTATTTGATCCGAAAGGCGGCAGATGTTCCTTCTCTATAAATGGTAATAAAATGGTCATGCTCGCGATCGAGAGACTTTGATGAACAAACTGGAATATTAGGATGCGTTTCTGTATTTACAGTGCAGGCTGATAATGAGCAGTTGCAGGAGACAAGTGAAATCGATCAATGAAGTGCTAATGCTATGCTGCAAACTGTGCGGTTGTGCTAAAAATGAAGACTTCAATCAGTTTGCCTTAAACCCTCAACACTAGAATCAGTCTGTATATGCCGTAAAGCATGCTTAATTTACTCACTGTGGAACCTAAGGGGTTAATCCTTTGCATTGTGTAAAAATGCAGTTTGATCCTGATTTATCTGATCCTTCCCTTCTTCCAGTGCCCCCCTCTTATCTCCTGATAAGATATATCGTGTTGATACACAATGCACATGCTCAGTTTGGGGTGTTTTGCTAGAGAGGGTTTTTTTTTTTTTTTGGGGGGGGGGGGGGAGAGTGCATGTGATCAGCATAAGGCCAATCAGCACTGTCTAGAGCAGAAAGGAAAACGCCTACAAGCTTTAACCAGTGCTCTGCTGAACACTGATAGAAGTCACAAGACTGCTCTAACTGCTGATGAGAAAAAGTATTTAGCAGTCTATATTTACTAAAATAATTGCATTTCCATGTTCTGTGTACTGTGGGAGACCAGATATAGTGAATGCAGAGTCCTGGGTTTAGCAACACTTTAAAGCAGCGGTTCTCAACCTGGGGGTCGCGACCCCTTTGGGGGTCGAACGACGCTTCCACAGGGGTCGCCTAAGACCATCGGAAAACACATATTTCCGATGGTCTTAGGAACCGAGACACCGCTCCTCGCCGCCGCCGCCACCGCCGTCTCCAGGTGTGGGCCGGATGACATGCCGCCCCTGTCATCTGGACACACCTCGAGATCAATCCTCGCCTGTGATTGGCCGCCGGCACTGTAGCTCAGGAGAGGCACACAGGCGGCCAATCACCGGCAAGGAGGTGGAGCTTGGAGAGGAGGAGCCGAGCGGCACCGCGAAGATCGAGTGAGTGAAGAGGAGGAGAGCGGCCGGAGAAGGAAGACATCTGACAGGTAAGTGTTGGTACCATGGGAGAGGGAGGGAGCGAGCGAGCCCAGGCTGGAGCAGGGGTCTGCAAGGTAAGTATCATTGGTGTCAGTGGGAATAGTGCCCCATCATTGGTGTCACTAATACCAATGATGGGGCACTATTCCTCCCACTGACACCAATGATGGGACACTATTCCTCCCACTGACACCAATGATGGGGCACTATTCCTCCCACTGACACCAACGATGGGGAACTATTCCTCCCCCAAATGACACCAACGATGGGGCACTATTCCTCCCCCACTGACACCAAGGATGGGGCACGATTCCTCCCCCCACTGACACCAACGATGGGGCACAATTCCTCCCCCCACTGACACCAAGGATGGGGCACTATTCCTCCCCCCACTGACACCAAGGATGGGGCACTATTCCTCCCCCCACTGACACCAAGGATGGGGCACTATTCCTCCCCCCACTGACACCAAGGATGGGGCACTATTCCTCCCCCCACTGGACACACCAAGGATGGGGCACTATTCCTCCCCCCCACTGACACCAAGGATGGGGCACTATTCCTCCCCCCACTGACACCAAGGATGGGGCACTATTCCTCCCCCACTGACACCTATGATGGGGCACTATTCCCCCCACTGACACCTATGATGGGGCACTATTCCCCCCACTGACACCAATGATGGGGCACTATTCCCCCCACTGACACCTATGATGGGGCACTATTCCTCCCCCCACTGACACCAATGATGGGGCACTATTCCTCCTCCCACTGACACCAATGATGGGGCACTATTCCTCCCACTGACAGCAATGATGGGGCACTATTCCTCCCACTGATACCAATGATGAGGCACTATTCCTCCCACTGACAGCAATGATGGGGCACTATTCCTCCCACTGATACCAATGATGAGGCACTATTCCTCCCACTGATACCAATGATGGGGCACTATTCCTCCCACTGATACCAATGATGAGGCACTATTCCTCCCACTGACACCGGTGATGGGGCACTATTCCTCCCACTGACACCGATGATGGGGCACTATTCCTCCCACTGATACCGATGATGGGGCACTATTCCTCCCACTGATACCGATGATGGGGCACTATTCCTCCCACTGACACCGATGATGGGCACTATTCCTCCCACTGACACCGATGATGGGGCACTATTCCTCCCACTGATACCGATGACGGGGCACTATTCCTCACACTGATACCGATGACGAGGCACTATTCCTCCCACTGACACCGATGACGAGGCACTATTCCTCCCACTGACACCAATGACGGGGCACTATTCCTCCCACTGATACCAATGACGGGGCACTATTCCTCCCACTGATACCAATGACGGGGCACTATTCCTCCTCCCACTGATACCAATGACGGGGCACTATTCCTCCCACTGACACCAATGATGGGGCACTATTCCTCCCACTGATACCAATGATGGGGCACTATTCCTCCCACTGATACCAATGATGGGGCACTATTCCTCCCACTGATACCAATGATGAGGCACTATTCCTCCCACTGACACCTATGATGGGGCACTATTCCCCCCACTGACACCAATGATGGGGCACTATTCCTCCCCCCACTGACACCAATGATGGGGCACTATTCCTCCTCCCACTGACACCTATGATGGGGCACTATTCCTCCCACTGATACCGATGATGGGACACTATTCCTCCCACTGACACCGATGATGGGGCACTATTCCTCCCACTGACACCGATGATGGGGCACTATTCCTCCCACTGACACCGATGATGGAGCACTATTCCTCCCACTGATACCGATGACGGGGCACTATTCCTCACACTGACACCGATGACGGGGCACTATTCCTCACACTGATACCAATGACGAGGCACTATTCCTCCCACTGACACCAATGATGGGACACTATTCTCCCCCACTGATACCAATGATGGGGCACTATTCCTCCCACTGACACCAATGATCGGGCACTATTCCTCCCACTGATACCAATGATGAGGCACTATTCCTCCCACTGATACCAATGATGGGGCACTATTCCTCCCACTGACACCAATGATGGGACACTATTCCTCACACTGACACCAATGATGGGGCACTATTCCTCCCACTGATACCAATGACGGGGCACTATTCCTCCCACTGACACCAATGACGGGGCACTATTCCTACCACTGATACCAATGACGGGGCACTATTCCTCCCACTGACACCAATGACGGGGCACTATTCCTCCCACTGACACCAATGACGGGGCACTATTCCTCCCACTGACACCAATGACGGGGCACTATTCCTCCCACTGACACCAATGAAGGGGGCACTATTCCTCCCACTGACACCAATGACGGGGCACTATTCCTCCCACTGATACCAATGATGGGGCACTATTCCTCCCAATGACACCAATGACGTGGCACTATTCCTCCTACTGCAAAATTACAGTTATGAAGTAGCAACGAAAATAATTTTATGGTTGGGGGTCACCACAACATGAGGAACTGTATTAAGGGGTCGCGGCGCTAGAAAGGTTGAGAACCACTGCTTTAAAGCAAAACTTAACTGTATCTTAGCACCACAAAATTAAACCACCATTTAATTAATTTTTAACATTTCAAAGCAAACTCATCCATCCATGTCTCCATGCTTTATTTTGCTGAGAAATCACTAAAAAAAAACCCTCCCCCCCGGCATTTCTACTCACGACCATCTTGAGTAAGAGCATTCATGTAGCATTTTCTTTGTGGAATCCATCTGTCCTTAGCTTTGGCATACAGGCAGGAGGGTGTGCCTACTGTAACTAAGAAAGCCCCTCCTGAAGACTCCTTAGAGCAGTGGTTAACAACCTGTGGGTCGCGACCCCTTTGTGGGTCGAACAACCCTTTCACAGGGTGTCGCCTAAGACCATCGGAAAACACATATTTCCGATGTGTAAAGAGCAGCTACTGTGTAGAAAGCAGCTGCTGTGTTGAAAGCAGCTACTCTGTTAAAAGCAGCTACTGTGTTGAAAGCAGCAGTATTGGAGGTAAAACGACACTTCATGAATTATAATTACTGGGTAAATAATTTTATGGTTGGGGGGTCACCACAACATGAGGAACTGTATTAAAGGGTCACGGCATTAGGAAGGTTGAGTACCACTGCCTTAGAGGAATTTGGCCTAGGCCAAAAACCAGGAACATTAAGATGTGAAAAAAAGTTTAAAACAAGTAACTATAATATACCTTCCCATCTATTTATTAATGCTAGCTGCAAAAGAATTAAATAGTTAATGTTGATTTAAGAGAGTTTTTAGTTTTAGCCTTAAAGCCCAGTTGAAGTCATATTTCTTATTTTTAGGCAGTCAGCCTGCATAACAAGTAAAGAATATGGACGTATTTTTTTTATTCTGTATAAAGCTGGCTACAGACAGGTTATTTTTTTTCCATTCGGCTAGTTGATTGAATGAAAAAAAATTGATTCCTCCAGCCACACAAATCCCTTAGTGCTTAGAGCTGTATGAAGCTGGTGCCATGCTGACAGCACGCTGGAGATCTGCATCACTACTATCGGAGAGTGCAGTGTTGTTGGTCTCCTGCGGTTTAACACAACATAATTGGAGTACTGTGCAGGAGACCCCAAAAATGTAGTAGTTCTTTTGTTGTCCATATTAAAAATGCTTTCATTTTATTGTAACAACATGGTAGTACAAAACAGTCATGTTCCCATTTAGTATAGCAATGTTCCAGGCTATGTCTAGCCCTCTATCAATCTAGAAGGAAACTGTTACTGTGGCTAAACATGGTCCAAAACTGTTGCTATGCTTTTGAAATAATGTGTAAGAGCTTTTAATATGGGCAAAGACCTGTGTGTGGTTGTACTATGTTTTTGAAGGATTTATTTTTGCTTTCTCTCTTAGGTTTACTTGCTGTTTATGCACTTGGAAAGTCAAGGGTTAGAGGTCACCTGACTTCTGGAAGCAACTTTTAGAGCTTGAATGAGCCTTCATCCCTGGTCACATTGCATACCTTGCAGTTTAGAGGCTCGGGTCAGGATCTCCTAAGCAGCCTACATTGTTATAATTTTAGAGTATTTTGATTCAGGCCTAAAGCCAATTGTGACTTTCTCTGTAGCCTATGTGATATGCTGCAGCCCTATTCACAGAGCTCCAGAGAGTGCTCTGCAATACACAGGAAGGGTGAGGAGTTTGATTCCCCCCCACGTGTGATGTTGCATACCAGTGATGCTCAGTGATCATATTGTGAGACCTATAAAGTTTAGTGCAATTTATGCACTTTTAACATATGGGCATGTTACTTATTTTAATATTCTATTGGCGGTTATAATGAAGGATTTTACTCTATATGAAGCCCTTTTTCTTGTTTGTTTTTTTTTGCCATTCTTTGGTTGACTATAAGCTATTGTGAACCAGATTATATTTTTCATGATATGGATATATGTCTGATGCCTGTCTGACCTTCCTATAATTTGGGGGTCACAGCTGCTGGTGAGCATAGTTGTGATGGATAGAGGAGCACGTGGTTTACATCATTTGGTGTTTTAAAAGAATTCATGTTTCTCAAACAGGCAGCACAGTGGCTAAGTGGTTAGCATTTCCGCCTAGCACCACT